GCAGCAACAGCAGCAGCAACAACAGCAGCAACAGCAGCAGCTGGACATGCGGGCTTCCGTTCAAAGGCGCAGCACTTCACAGGGGCCTCGGTCGCAGGAGACTACTGCTGCTGCTGCTGCTGCTGCAGCAGCAGCAATGCCAGTAGCAACTGCTACAGCAGCGTCAGATCAAAGCCTTGCAGCAGTAGCAGCAGCAGCAGCAGCAATAGGTGGTGCTGCTGCTGCTTCATGCCCCCGCCTGACTCCAAACTCAGACCCCTATCAAGGCGTTGCCGCAGCTGCAGCAAGCTACCAGCAGCAGCAGCAGCAGCAGGATATTCCTTGCTCCTTGACTCCGCGAGGCTCCGGAGGCCGCAGCAGCGCAGCAGGCAGCAGCAGACTTGCTGCTGAGTTGCAGCGAGCTGTGGCTGAGAAAAGACGTGTTGAAGATATGCTGCAGCAGCTGCTGCTGGAGAATGAAGACCTACGGGCCCAGGTGCTGCTGCTGCTGCTGCTGCTGCTACTGCCGGCGTTGCTGCTGTCGATCTGGCTGGAGCTGCGGCGTATATTCTGCTGCTGCTGTTGCTGCTTTCTTTGCGAGTGTTGCTTGTTCTACCGCGCTGCTGCTGCTGCTGCTGCTGCTCTTCGTAGGGTTGCTGTTGCTGCTTTTTGTGCTGCCCACACGACCCTACAGTAGCAGCATCAACAGCAGTTGCTGCTGCTGCTGCAGCAGCAGCGCTTTCAAAGGCCTCAAGTTGTTGCTGTTTGCTGCTGTTGCTGCTGCTGCTGCGGTTGCCTTTGCAGGCCGAGCAGCTTGGAGAGATGAGGCAGCAAATGGCTGCTGCACAGGCTGCAGCGCGCGGTGAGAGCTGCTACTGCTGCTTGCTGCTGCTGCTTGCTGCTGCTGCTCGCTGCTGCTGCCTTGTTGCTGTCGCCGTTGCGGTTCTCATACTGCTGCTGTTGCTATACTGCTGCTTTGTTGCTGCTGCTGCTTTGATGTTGCTGCTACGCTACTGCCTTGCTGCTCCAGCTGCTATGCTGCTGCTCCTGCTGCTGATGCTTTGCTGCTGCTTTAGTAAGCATGCACTGCTGCTGCTGAGGCCTTTCTGTGCAGGAGAAATAGAGCGACTGCAGCAGCTGCTGGCGGACGCGCAGCAACGGGCTACTGCTGCAGCAGCAGAGCTGGTTAGTTGGTGTTGCTGCTGCTGTCATGTGTTGCTGCTGCTGCAGCTGCTCCCGCTGCTGCAGCATCTGCTGCTGTTGCTGCTGTTGCTTCTCTTGTTGTCTGCATCGCAGTCTTGTTCGTGATGCTGCTGCTGCTGCTGCAGGATTTGCTACGGGGGGAAGTTCGTGCTGCTGCTGCGCGGCAGCAGCAGCAAACCACTTTGCTGCAGAAGACACGTGATGCTTATGCTCAGCAGACGCAGGTGAAGCCCCTGCTGCTGCTGCTGTTGTTGCTACAAGTAGAACAGCTGCTGACTGCAGCAGCAGCAGCAGTAAGTCCAGTAGCAGCAGATGTGTGGGTGCTTTCGCTCTGTGCAGGCGCTGCATGACTTGCTGCAGCAGCAGCAGCAGCAGCAACAGCGGCTGGAGCAGGCGCTGCAGCAGGAGGAGCTGCAGGCACAGCGGGTTTCGCGTTCGCAGCAACAGCAGCACCAACAGCAGCAGCAGCAGCAGCAGCAGCAACAGCAGCAGCAGCAACAACAACAACAGCAACAGCAGCAGCACTCGCAGCAGAACGGGTGCTGCAGGGATAACTCGCCTTTTGATTTTGAACGCAACGGCAGCAGCAGCAGCCGTAGCAGCAGCCGCAGCAGCAGCAGCAGCAGCAGCAGCAAGTCATCTTGTGGGGAGAGTTTGTATCAGACGTGCGCACTGTCTCCTTTAGCTGCTGCCAGCAGCAAAAGGCTGCGAACAGACTGCAGCACAGAGACAAAGGAGACGCCTCAATGAGAAAAAGATAAACAATATGCTGCAGCAGCACTTTAGAGTTTGCTTTAGCTGCTGCTGCTGCTGCTGCTGCTGCTGTCTCCTTTTCTTTATTTATTTGAACCGTTTGTCTCCTCTTGTCTTTTTAATATCATTTGCATTCTTTATTTGTCTCTTTTTATTTATTTGTCTCCTTTTGTCTGTCTGTCTCCTTTTGTTTATTTTATTTGTCTCTTTTATTTATTTATTTGTCTCCTTTTATTTATTTATTTGTCTTTTGTTTATTTTATTTGTCTCTTATTTATTTGTCTTTGTTTTTGTTTATTTTGTTTGTTCGGCTGTCTCTGCTTTTTCTGAGTTATTTGCTGTCTCCTTTTTGTTTGCTTTTGTCTCCGTCACGCCGTACTCAAAAGGGTTTAGGGTTTAGGGTTTAGGGTTTAGGGTTTAGATAAAGTGCAGAGGGGCCTTAGTGAGCCTGAGGGTTTAGGGTTTAGGGTTTAGGGTTTGGTTGGGCAGAGCCCCCTGCTGCATCATCAGGTGTCTCTAAATACTTGTAACCGCTAAACCCTAAACCCTAAACCCTAAACCCTAAACCCTAAGGGCGATGAAGGAGACAAAAGCAACAACAAACAAAAGAGACAGCAGCAAAAGCGGAGAGAGACAGAGAAGAGAGACAACAGACAGAGCAGAGGGGCCCTGCTGTAATGGATTAGGGTTTAGGGTTTAGGGTTTGGGGTTTAGGGTTTGGGGTTTAGGGTTTAGGGTTTAGGGGGTTCTTCGTTCCCAGGAGGATGTATCTGAGTTCCTTTATTTAGGCTGCTGCTGCTGCTGCTGCTGCAGCAAGATGCCTAGCAGCAGCAGCTGCTGCTGCTTGGGGTATCTCCGCAGCTAAGCGATGCAAAGGCTTTGTTGCTGCTGCATTAATATCACGGATTCAGGTGTATGTACACCTCAACGAAAACACAGGCATAATAAGATGCTGCTGCTGCTGCTGCTGATGTGTACGTACACCTGAATTCGTTTTGTAACTGTTTGTTTGTTTGTTTTATTTCTGTTTGTCTGTCTTTTTTATTTGCTTCCTAAACCCTAAAGCCTAAAGCAAAAACATGCTTTGCTGCTACAGCAGCAACAGCCGCAGCTACCGCAGCAGAAAGAGCAGCAGCAGCAGCAGCAGAAGCAGCATCAGGCTTGCGATAAAACTTCAGCTTCTACGCTGCCGCGGGTGGGTCACCAGTGCAGCAACAGCAGCAGCAGCAGCAACAGCAGCAGGAGCAGCAGCAGCACTTACAGCAGCAGCACTTGCAGCATTCAGCAGCAGCACGTGCAGCAGCAGCACGTGCAGCAGCAGAGCCTGCAGCAGCAGCAGCAGCAGCAAAAGTTTTATCTCAATTGTAATTGTTTTGTTAATTGTTTTTCTGCTTTTCTTTG